GAAACAACAACAACAACCTCGGAATCATTTAATCACAGTATCACTCAACACGACAGGAAAGGTTCATGGCTTTGTGACCAGCGCCGGCAGCCGGCGCACAGTACAGCACAAACGGAACCAAGTCAGTAGGTCGGGGCCGGCCGGGGGCTCACCAACATCCAGTGCTTTGATGCTCAGAGTCCAAACAGGTTCACCTCGTTGTGCAAGTGCTTTTCCAAACGCTTTTTGTAGGGAGGGAACAAGGAGCCGTTTTTCGCCAGAGCGTCTGCTGAGAGTCTTAAGTGCTGAGCGGGGAGAAAGGGAAAGAAAGCTTCCACCACGGGAAGCCAGCTGTGCCCCCGGGGAGCAGCCCTGGCACCAGGGACTGCTGTTGGCCAAAGCCACGACAAAGCCTACGGGTCGGCTACACGTCCCGAGTGCAACGAATGAGCGCTATGAGATCAACGGCAATTCAGCGAGGCTTTCTCTTTATTTAACTGGGGGAAGATGAAAACTCGTCATCAGTGCTAACTTGGGGGGAGTCGGGAGGTCCTGAACACAAAAAGAGGCACTGGCTCGAGAAAACGGGAGGAGGACTGGATCAGGAAATACAAACAACGAAAGGAAAGGAGAAATCATTTCATGATTCCCCAACCTTCTGCTCCTCACGCCCTGCGCGTGGCCGGGAGCCCCGAACCCCACAGCGCAGCGCCGCCCATCCGGCCCCTGCTGAGACCCCCAATGGGCAGCGCTGCCTCTGCAGGGCTGCGTGCTCCCCTGCCTGCTCCTGCTTTCCAACCCACCAAGGAAATAAATAGAAAGCTCAGGCAAACGCTACCGGCTCGCCAATGGAACACAACCAATGATTGTCTGGAGAACGGGCAGCAAGAACAGCAGGAGCCCGCGGGCGCTTGGCACATCACCACCTCTCCATCCTCCCTCATACAACACACAACCTCAGTTACACCATTTTGGTCCTTCACTACGTGCTTATATTAACATTATTTCTTCACAATAATGATATATCTAATGCAAAAAAAAAAAAAAAAAAAAAATACTGTTAAGGAAGAAATAAAATAAGAAAAGAATTAGCAAAAAAATTACAAGTTATTTACAGATTAAAAGAAATTCCAACCGGAGAGGAAACAGTTCTTTATTATTTCTGTTGCCCCGGTGGGAATGGTGCCCAGGGTGGGACGGGGCCAGCTCTGTGCTCTCAGGACCGGGTGCTGTGCCACCACCAGCACAGCCTCGTGCCAACACAGGGAGCAGCTCGGCCGGGCTCAGGGCCTTGGGCACTTTCACAGAGGGATGTGGAAAACCAAACAGGGAGGGCAAATTTTCTCAGAAAATACGCCGGTGCTGCTCATTTACCTTCTGCTCCTTCTGTACTAAGGATATCCCGGATGCTTTCCTCCGAGAGCCATCTAAAAACAGCCTGCTCTTGGTGCTGACAGCACGCTATGAAGGGTTCCTAGCATAACCCCCACTTTGTGGGCAGTCGTTTCCTTGGCTTCATTGTGCTGGGATGAGGCTCCCATGTTGTGTTCCTTCACCCTGCACTGAGCACACCACCAATCCACAGGCAGAAAACCACACGCCGCCCCTCTGACAGCGGCCATGAGCCCAGTTCTGCAGTTCCTAACCAGACCCAATGGGGAAAGTGATGGGAAAACCAATGGGAAATGTTCTTCCCAAGCTGGCTGGCTCTGAGCACGGTGCCACCGCACCAACTCTTGCCCAATCCTTGGAACTTTTCAACTGACGACGCTGCAATTAGCAAATTCTCAGGACACACACCCTTAACGTTACCCAGACAGCCAGTGCTGTTCTTTGCACCAGGTCTGTTTGCTTCCCAGGCTGTGCTCCATTTCAGCAATTCGCACTGCAGAGCAGCACAAACAACGGTACTTCTGGAAGTTGTTTTGGGCCACTGAACAACAGGAGACTTGGAAGAGATTTGAAATCACTCATAACATACCTGCGAGCAATTCTAGAGTCAGAGAGACGATTCTATTCTTGGCTGTGTGCTTGAATAGAGGGCACAGAGCCCTGATGCTGCTGAAGCTAGGACATCTTCCTATGAAAACCAATGGCCGCAGCCATGCACAGCCAACCAACCACCCACCACAACAGCACGAGCAGGATGTTTCTTCTACAATTCCCAACCACCACCAACACTGAGAAGATATCACTGCAGGAAACAACACAGTGGCTGCAACCATCCTGACGACCCCGGGCCACCTTCCCCACCCCGATGGCTTTTCACCCTCCCCATGAGACCCAACAGCTCCAGCACAAGACCCCGGGGCAGTGCAGACCAAGAGCCATTCCTCACTCCAGAGGCTCCAGGTCCAAGCAGAGCTCCGTCTTGAGGCACCACAGAGATGGAGAGTGCTCTCCACACAGCACTGCAGGCATGGACATCCAGCTGAGGACCACCAACCACACGTTTCTGTGACCCAACAACAGCCCGACCCCAGCACTGCTGCAGGCTGAGGAGCTCTCAGCTGGGACACTGCGACTCACATTCAGGAGCTTTGCACAGAAAAGGTGTTTGGCCAGGAACTGAGCACAGGACAGCATTTCAGTGGGAGTACACAACTTCAGGTTCTGTTATAGGTCAGCAAAATGGGCTGGATTACCCTTCCCTGGTGCAACTCCAGTGGCTCTGCCAGAATTGCACCAGGGACGGGGTCTCCCTGGGCTCCGTTTCCTTGTTGCCTCCTTATTCGACTGAGCTGAAGGGATGAAGCTGCCCAATGGTGTCAGGCTTCCATCTCCACGAGGCCTTTGCTGGCTCAGTGATCCCATCTTGTAATGTCAGGGACTGATATCGGATCACGCCGTAGCGATTTGTGTCTTGCTTACGCTGTTCCTATTTTGGTGAAATCCTGGGGGCTGCGTCAGGGTCATCCAGTTGCGGAGAGGTTCATTGCCATAAATTACAAATCAAAACTGTGGTAAAAACGCAGGTCTGGTAGGTCAGATGCGACAGGTTCCTTTCTCAGCCCAAAGTCCAGGCGCTCCCTGAGGCCCTCGCACCCATCTTCTGCTTGCTGGGGTTTGGGGTAAGCGCAGCACCGCCGCCTCCTCGCTGCGACTGCAGACAGAGCCCTGCGGACCTCTCAGAGGTGGTTGATGGGGTTAAAGGTCCCCGACTCTGAAGCTGCTCCTGCCATGTCCAACCAAGCACCCAGGGAGTTCTGGGAGGACGTGTGGAGGGGAGCGTTCTCAGATAGGGACAGCATCATTGCATAAGCCTGCGGGAGGAGAGAGCAACGCGGGGGACGTGTGAATTCGCACGTGGGATGTGCTGCAATAACCAGCTCACAGCACCAGCTCACAGAACGTTAAGTGGCACTGTCCCTGCCAGCAGGTTGAGATTTACATCCACATGCAGGGATGGCACCCGCCGCTCCACCTACTGCAACGTGGCAGCCTGGGCTGATGCAGATAATGCCAGCACTCCCCACGGTTGTACAGAACCAAAGGCTCCGTGCCAGGCTGGGCACATGGCACACACCTCACACCTGCCTCTATTCCTCTGCAGGGCAGCAAAAATCGTGCATTTCTGGGACATGGGTACAATGCTCAGTACAGTTGGACCTGCAGCAGTACAGCTGCACTGATGACAATACCAAGTTCAGCCCCTTGAAGGCCGAGAATCAGAGCTACCTGTCACGTCAGCATGCTCATCTACCTACTGTAGGTATGTGCTGAAAGAGCCTGGAAGTGTTAAGCTTCTAGAAAAGAACAACAGCCCCAAAGGACAACTCTCTGCCAAGCACTGGATAGAGCTAACGGAGTAGGTCAAATGTTAAAAGGAGCAAGCTTTCCTATGTGGTTAGTGCCTTTGCCATATTAGTAACGGGACACACAGAGGACTCAGGCAAGCAGCTTGTGCTGGGTGGTAATTTGGAGCACCTTTCTTAGAGGCTTAATGTGAGAGGCACTGACTATGCCCACGACAGTGATCTACCTTCACTCTCACAGTCTTTTGTGAGAGTCCTTCCACGTGGATCAAGATAGGAACTTCATGAAACTAGGCAACGTTTTGGTGCAATGAAAAAGTGGGAAGCACAAATGGATGTGCCCCATACCTCCAGATTTTCCTCTAAACTACAGCAGGGGCTGAGGTGTCACTTTGAGGCTTCCAGGTGGGTCTGAGCTGACAGAGCAAATGCTCCTTCTGTGTTTTGCTTTTAGAAATCAGGGAGATAAGTGAGGAAGTTCTTGATGCCTGAAGGACTGCAAGTCAAGGCAATACTACTGTCTATTATGCTCTCTGTAATCAAATACAGTGACGTTTTATTACAGTTTCTATGGACTAAGCTTGAGTTTCTTACTATGAGCCAACTGAAGAGCTATCTCAAAGTAGAAATAAATAACAGTTGGGAAAAAACATTTATACAGACAGATAAAAACAGACAGATGCCACTACTGTCCTACATAAGCATGTTCTCACAACACAGGGTTAATGATAAATTGATCGGGTGACCTAAAACTGATGCCCACTCCATTTCTTCTCCATTTTTCTGTACAGCTGCGACAAGACAGTTCCCACACAATTCCCTCATTACCATCAGTACTCCTGCTCAGTGGGAAGGGAAAATAAACCTCAGCTGAAGGAGGCCAGCTGCTTGCTAATGCTATAGGACGCGCTGGCAGCAAGCTAGGTAAAATGTTCTGGCATATACCTACCTGGTTTTTAGCCTGCCTGTACAGAGTCTGTTTTATTGTCTCAGAGTCTAAGGTGGAATTAAACACATCTTTAACTTCAAATGCTTCCTCGGCTGCTTTGCGAAGATCCAGCCCCTTCCCAAAATTCGGCATCTGCTCCAAATCTAACAAGCCGGCTTCGTCCTCCTCAATACACCTGTACCAATGACCAGGGGAAGGGGTTGACCTGTTGTTAGCTCATGGCACCGTTCACACACGAGCGTGGTGCTAACCAGTTCCTGCATGCACGTACATGGGGGTCTCACAAGCCACATGCGTGAGCGGACAGACGGACAGACAACGAGAATGACACAGAGTGCAAGGCACAGAGAAGAGGTGGAGAGCGTGAATTGTGCACCTACAAGCATCGGAGTGATGGATTTTTGTGAGTCAGCCTGACTAAAGCTCTCTCTGCTCTTCTGCACAGAGGTGTCCAGCTGCTGGCCGCTCCTTGACACGTCTGGCACTGGATCAATGTCTACAGAACACTGCTGTGTCTCCTCTGAGTTGCAGTGAAAGCAGTGATGCACTGAGACTAAATAAGATGCAGGCTCTGCATCCGAGGATATTTGGTACAAATGGCAGTTGGGAAACTGAAGCTGAAAAAGGAGCACTAAGCCTATACAGGTGCAACAAATCTTAGTGGCGAAGTTGTCTAAATATCACTTGACCCTGGGAAAAAAAAATCTTTACCTTTTCCCTAAATGCTGGTGATTTAACTTGAAGTCAACAGCGTTTTGCTACACATAAAATGAGTAGCATGGTACAACACGGATTGCATACGTGTGCTTCTCCCTCTGCCTCAACCAGAGCATTAAAGACAGGCATCACCCCCTGAACTGCAGTGCCCTGCAAAAGCTCTTCTCTGTTTTGGACTAATTGTTCTCCTGCCTCAAACTCCTCAAGTCTTGGATCTACATCTTATCACAGCCTCTCCTTGCAGCCCACTTGTTTTGTATCCCTCACCATGGGTGAAAATGGAATCAGTCAAGTGAACGCTTAAATCAAACTGAGGTATGATAAATGGCTTGAGAAATAAAACAGTCACAATCTACCACTGGCACAGGGTCAGAAGTCTGGCCCCCAAACGACCTCCCAAAGGACACGGCCCACCTCACCTTCGGGTGTGCTCAAAGCTCATGGTGAGAGATGTGGGCTCCTCATCCTCTTCATCCTCGTACGTTCCTCGGGGCTCTGCAGTGGGTGACACCGTTTCATCCTGCGACTTCCCTGTCAGGCTGTCGTCATCCTCCTCCTCCAGTTCTTCATCTTCATCATCCACATCTTCCGTTTTCTCATTTGCTAATCCGTGACACTGGGAGTTGCTGTCAATATCCTGCATTTCTGGCCTGAAGTGTTTGGTCAAGAAGGGAAGCAAATGAAAAGAAAGAGATCAAATGAGTAAGTCATGCATCTTCACTGTAACATAAGACTGCATTCAATTCATACGTGTGCACGAATGCAAATATCTAGAGTTATCTATGTCCATATGCACACTATTTAAACTACAAAAAAAAAGGGAAACTGACATGTTTTAGGCAGTTAAAAATCAGCCTTTGCAGTGCCTGCAGGGACAACGAGCACACCAAGTACACATCAACCCAAATGCTTTTCAAACTAGCATTCTGTCTAGTCTGGATTTAAGCGATGCTTTTCCATCTCTCAAAATATAACATCTGTGGGACACAGGGCTTTCCTCCTCCTCTCTGTACTGCATTCTAACAACCTCCATTTGAGGAAGCTCCCTCACAGCTGGGCAGATTTGATACTCCTCAGTCAAAATGAGGTTTGTAAAACAAAGGCGAAATCAAGATGCCTCCCAGGCCCCATGCCTTGCCATTACTCCTAACCCAGGTCATCTCCTGAAAAGACTCAACACTGGGCTCAGCACTTGAAGTTGGTGGTGCTTTCCATTCCAAACCACAACGTTTCTCTCTTCTGAGTGCTTTAAATCAAATACTACAGGACAGAGGCTGGCTGCTCTTTGAACCACGTTAACAATGCGTGCCACCAGGTCATTTCATTTGCTGGTCTACCTTTTATCTGCTAACGTTGATGCTTGATTCATCTCACTATTTGCAATAAAATTTCTGATTTCAGAGAAATACGAATCCTCTTTCTCATCTAAAAGTGCATGGTTGTCTGACTCCGAGTTGGGGGAAGAGGCACTGGTCCCAAGGTGGTTTGTAATGACTCCAGAGTGCTGGCTCACTGAGTGGGAGAAACGAGACAAGAGAACAGGAGAAACAATCAGATGCTGTCAAAGTCATCATTAAGAGGGAAAATAAAGGAGGAGCATCATGCAACAATCCTCTCACTGCACAGTAAGATTATTTTACAGAAGCTTGTGTTTTCCAGACTTGAACTACAGAGAAAAACAGGCAGCACTCAGCACTTATGGGTGGCACAGGCAATTCCAGAAGCCCCATCCATCGTTCAGCTGCTTGCCTGCAGCTTTCCCAGAGCAATGCTGGTTGCTACCTGGAACGTTCTCGTGCTCGTGCTTCTTAAGATGTCGGTCCAGGTTGGTCTGCTGCCCAAAGCACCGGTTGCACAGGTGGCATTTGAATGGCTTCTCCTTGTTATGGATGTTTCGAACGTGCCGCTGGAGGTTGGAGGAAATGCTGAATGACCTGTCACAGTATTTACACCTGAAAAATAGAAGCAAATGCCAAAGAGTGCAACGTGAGGGGGGAAAAAAAAAAAGAAAGGCAACGCAAAAATCTGACTACCAGAAAACCAGAAAAATGTTGGTCTATAAATCTTTACTCGGCTGAGGAGCTGGAATGCAAGAGGCATTAATCATTCCAGACAAATCTGATATTATTGTTACTCAAGGAGCACAAAGAAAGGATTAGGATTAATTAAGAAGCGAGCCGTCCAAACAAATAAGAATTTTAAACAAAATAATTACTTTTTTTTTCCCCCCACACATGAATGTAGAAACACAAAAGGTGAATTAATTCATTTCACATTTTGCAGGGGAGGCAGGTGAAATCCGGCATGGGGAGAGGAGAAAGAAGAAGAAAGGGAGATTAAAACTATAATCTTGTTACTATCTAGCACAGCCCTTCACGGCGCACTGATGTGGACATATGGAAAACCCTGAATTTATTCATGAAATTCCTCAAGATACAGGCAGCAGAGCCTTAAAGACCATTATGGCTGCTATCATAGCACAACGGCTCCCAAGAAATACACCACAGCTTCCAAACTGTGTCAGACCCATTCCCGTGGAGCGAATATCTGGTTTGCATTGAACTATGCGCAACGCACGGAGCCAAGCCAGGGTGTTTGGGGGAACTGCTGAGCGAAGAAATGTTCCTCTTTGAATCACCCCTCTGCAGGGGCAGATGCACTGGACGCCGGGCCGTGGTTACCTTTCCCTCTGGACGGTGATGCTCTGAGCTCTGTGGGCAGAGCACGACTGCAGAGGGCAGCTTTGAGCCACAGAGAGGAGCTCCAGGACCGAAGGTAGAAAGCCAAACTCCTCCAAACCAGCCCGATCAGATCCCCCCCCCTTTCAGTCCATCACCTCTACCCAACAAAGGCACTTTCCTCATGGCTACGCTTCCAAAGCCCACAGGAAGCAGAACCCTTCTCTGCAGAGCTCTGCAAACCCTGTGCACTCACAGGACAAAACACAACCGTTCCTAAAACCCTCTCATCCCAACAGGATCCGTGTAAGGGCAAAACGCATCCCAGCTCCTTGTGGCACAAAGCTCTGGGCTCACAAGTGCCCTCCTCCTATGCTTTTCCCTTCCCTTACTCAAGCACCAAAACTGGATTTGCCTTGACAGTAAGGATGTGGTGTGGTTTCCTACAAGCATAACAGATCCAAATGCAAGAAGAAGGTGCAAGTGTAAAAAACCCATACTGTGAAACACGTGCACCATTTCCAGATGTGCTACAGCTGCAATTTTTATTTGCTCTCCGAAACCAAATTGATATTATTTTTGGGAATAGCAGAGATACATTTATGAAACACTCTCTCTCTTTTCTTTGTGGATTCCACGCCCACCTCCAAATTTCCTACTGTTAAATCACTGCAAAAATATTAAAATATTTCAAATCATGAACCTTTCCTCATGATTAACTGAGGAAAAAAGCAAAATCTCGTGTTAAACCACAGCTTTCTCAGGCTTCCAAAGCTTTCTCTCCCTCCCTGCTAGCAACACAAGGATCAGACCCGTGGGCTGCCAGGCTTCTGCAACCCTCCAGACTGCAGCATCCCAACACCCGACATCCCGTAGGAGAGCAGGAGCTGAGTTCCAGCAGTGCTGTGCCATCAGCTCCCTCTATTTCCAGGCACTTCAAAGCAGCACTGCCAGGAGCACGGCTCGAACGCCCCGGCCCCCATCCACCCATTTATTTGGATGTTCAGGAAGTCTTTGAAAAGCTCCCTCTGACAGGTCCTCGCTTTAACTATGAGCTATGCAGACCCAGGCTCGGATGCAGGGAGAGGGGATAAAGAGCTTGTTAAAAAAATAGAAACCAGAGGCAAAGGAGCAACGTCCAACGTCTGAGCGCTGGGATGAGGGAGGCGGGCGGCGTTATTTGCGGTCCCAGAGGGGTCGGTGCTTGGATCTCTGCTGGTTTTAATCTAAATAAACGACCTGGACGGAAGGACCAACTTAAACACAGGGAAGAGGGGAGCTCAAAAAGGAGCCGTCGTTGCTTTGTAAAAGAAAATGAGAGCGCTTTGTGAGGAGCTGAGCGCGAGCTGCAGTGCCACAGCAGACAGCGGCGTTAGTTGTTAGCTTCAGCTTAATGCAGATAACAGGACACGGGGGTCTGAAAGGAAATTAAAGCAAAACAAACTCAAAACAGACGTCGGGAAGCACATCTTTATGGGAGGAACGGCAGCCTGGCAGGCAGTGCCTGAGGACCGGGGGTAATTCAAGAATCAATTAGAGGGCATCCTGGAGGGATGCGAGAGGAGAGCCGTGCCGAAACCAGCAGCCAGGCTGGGCTGCATGCAGCCTGTGTGTTCTGCCTCCCCAGTTCTGCATGCTGTCCTGATGCTGTTTCAAGGTAGATTTTCAGGAAGCACAGAGCATTACCAGGTACTCCTCGCTCCACACAGCACTGCTCCTTTGCAGAAGGAATTAACATCCACGGTGCCCATGTACTGTGCATTCCTACCTCATATCCTCATCATAGACAGCAAGGGAGCAAAAGGGACTTGCTGAAGAACACGGAAGGGTTGGGAACCAGACATTTAAACACCAGAAGGAAAGTTGCAAGATAAAACACAGAAAATCCCCAACCTGCTTCTACCTGCAGGATGTTGGCACTTCAAAAGCAAGCTAAAGGTGGAAATCTCTGTTCTCTGAGAGCAGAGGAAAATCGATGATAATTAAGCCCTTCTATAAATGTTGCACTGACTCTCAGGAGCTCTGTTATAATGCAACATTGTCCAGAAGTCAGCGCTCTACTGCAGGAAAAATCCCACACAAAAACCCCACACAAGGGCCATTTTCTGGGACAAGAGCAGATGAAATACGGCGCGTGTTTTGCTAACCTTTGTTGAGTCCAAGGTCTCCTTTTTTGGAAGAAAACAGCACTGAATCTCTGAGTAACTGGGAGTGAGGGTTTGACTCAGACAGGACTGTGTGCTGAATGCGCAGCATTCATTCAAAGCATATCAAACAGCAAACTGAGAACTCAAAGGGAACACTTCCAAAATATATGTCTGCTTTGGAGAGGGGGTTTTTGGATTTGAATTTACCTCGTGTCTACACTCAAAATCCTCCTTGCATCTGTATAGAAAACAAAGTGGCTCTGAATGCACCGTGGGTCACAGCATGGAAGAAAGTGGCTTCTTCAGTAAAACCAGGCATGAGAATGCCACGCATTGCAGCAGATGGGCTCTGCTGCTCACAGATTTGGTTGCGTTTCTCTTTCTGTCATAACCACAACATCAGCTTTGCTGTGAACTTAGGACTGTGTGTGGAAACACCACAACATTACTACCCAAAGCAAAATTGCTGCAGTTGCTGGTGCTGTTTGACAGAGTGCAACACACCGACTCGTCTTATGGAAAACGCTTGGTTTTAAGTGAGCTCTCAATTCATCACTCGTTCAGTTATGCCAAATGAATACAGATATATATCCTAAAAAGAAAGGAATCAAAGCATTTTTCTGCCAAAGTCTCTTCTTTGTTTTGAAACTGACTGCAAAACAGTCAGAGAAAACATGGAGCAAAACAACTTGGAGACAGATGCTGCTCCAGCTCTCTGCACACACCTCTGTACCTCCATTTCCTCGTGAAGTCTGAAAGGCTGAGGTGAACAGGACCCCCTTTGGGGGAGCTCAGTGCCTTTTTGTTTTGATCCACAACTCCAGGCATCTCCGACATGCATTAGGGAAAGAAGAAAGGAATCCAGCTAGCTCCAGCAGTTCCTTTCCTGGCAAGCCCTTCAAACCAGCCTGGTTTGCAGAGACATTCAGCACCTTCAGCTGTCCTTGAGACGAATGGTTAACGTGAGTGTGAAACAACACTGGAAATCAGATCACTCCTTTGCCAGCATACATCTAAATATAAGCTAAGTGCCTATCTCCAGGCTGCCAAGCTGGATTATTTTTGGCTGGTACACACAACATACAGTCCGATGAATCACGGTATGAAATGCTATAGGACCGCAGGGTTACACTGGCACAGCTTTACAGCGAGGGGAAAAAAACCCCACCAACAGAGAGCAGTGAATGAGGGAGGCACTGGGGAAGGGGATTCTTGGGGGTAACATCACCTGTAGGGCTGCTCTCCCGTGTGTGTCCGCAGATGCCTCGTCAGGTTGGCTGAGCGCGGGAAGATCTTGCCACAGTACCTAGGATGGCAAGAGCAAAGTCAGTGCATCAGCAGCACCACCCACTGCCTCCTCTGGTGGGAGATCCATCGCTGCCCATTCGTGCTGCCAACCACCTGAGATGTTAACAGACCTCTCCTCTGTTCTCTGTTGGTCACTTATACAGAATCTACTTGATTATCCTCAGAATTCATTGCATTCGCTTCCAGATGAATGCTGCAGCCTTGCTTTGCTGTTACTGGGATATACTGCTGTGAGTCTGACAGCCTGCTTAGAATAAGGAAATGCAGCAGTAGAAAATAAAATAGGAGAAGGAACCACGTTCCATAGTAAATCTGACTCATAGCAAACTCAAAAGGAAGGGAAATATAAATAAAGATGTTAATTGGGAAATAAAATACTCAGGAGGAAAAGCTGTGCTCTGTGTCTGGGCAGCCCAACGCTTGACGTTGCAGAAGGAAATATGAGTTGAGTTTCTTAATTTCAGAGACATTTGGATGTCCGTAAGATGGATGGTTAATGTGAATGTTAATCCATAATGAAAATCCACGTGGTAATGGGCTACTGTGTGTATAAATCGTAACTGAGTCCTTCTTGCAGTGGGAAACCTGCTGTTTCTAACCACCCAGCTGAAACCTGAGCGCAGAGCTTTTGAGGCAGAGCAGAACGCTGCAGATGCATCAGACAAAGTCTGTGCCCACCCAGTGCCCACGAGAAAGGTGCAGGGAGAGCCATCACAACAACACACTTGTAGGTAAAGCTGCGTGAGCTTGCATGGATTCCCTCAGGGCTATGCTCTGACACACACATTTTTAGCTGCAATTGGTACATGAGCATTGCTGTGGATAGAACTGTCTGTGCAAAGAGCAGCTCAGTGCTTGCTGCTTCTAAAGCTCCTTCACTTCGCATAGCTGAGACTGTGCTGCTTTCCCATTGCAAACTGTGGCATTGGCTACCACACACCAGAGACTTGGCGTGGAAGGGCCCTGTTTGCTTGAGAATCTCCAGATCTGCTCCCGAGGTTATTCAAGATTACAAAGCAAACAGAAGATGCCCATTTTCCACCAGACAAAAACAAGCTATTTCGGAGCACGGTCGTCATCGTGCTCCGTTCTCATTCTGCTGCCCCCTGCTTTCCCTCCCAGCCCCGTGTGGGTGGTGGGGATGCCCACGTGGGGTTGCTGTGCTCCCTCACCTGCAGGTGTAACGCTCCTTGCCCTTCCTCAGGATGGGGTCTGACAGTGTGGGAGGCGGCGATCGGAAGTTGAAGGGGTGGTGGGGAAGGGGCTGCAGGGAACTGCCCGAGTCCGCCTTCATGGCTGCAAAGCTCTCCAGTTTCTCCGTCATCGTTTCTATGGCTGACATCTGCAAGCAGAAGGGCCTCGTGTCAGAGAGATGGGGGAATGAAGGGAACTGGGCAGGAGGCAGGGGGGCCCTGCAGCGAAGATCAGGCTGAGGAAGGAGCGGGGCCATGCAGAGTTTGCCTGGCCAAGACGTTTTAATTACATGTCAGAAAGGTTGAGGAGCCCGTTAAGGTGATGGAAGGAGGAGTGGGAGGTGGCTGAGCTTCCTGAAGGGAAAGGAGAGTCCAGCCAAGCTAAAACAAAAACGAGCAGTGGTTTGGTGAGTTACGGCTATGGGAGGACTGCAGTCTGCACCTGGAAGTGCAGACTATGGTTCTATTCTATGATTCTATGATTCCAAGTCCTGTTTGGGTGGGAGCAGCAGGCATGCGGGGCTGGCAGGGTGGCCCCAAAGGAAAGGCTGCCATTCCCCTACAGCTTTGGGTTCTGGGACCCAGCAGCAGCCACAGAAACACTGGGGGTGAACGCCAGAAACAGAGAGAAACGTGGAGAGATGGGAAAAAGGGAAAGCAACAAAAGGTGAGAAGAGAGCTGGAAAGCAAAGGTTGTGCTCAAAAGTCCTGCCAAAACCCCCTCCCCCCCAAAAAAAAACCCCAAAAAACCACGCTCAACCAAAACCCACTTTTACTTTCATTAAAGCAAAACAGGAAACCCAAATCCAAGAGAGAACAGCAGCTTGGAGGACTGCACTGACGTCTCCAGCGTTCAGTTTTATGCACTCTTGAGAGCACTTTGAGATACCAAGCTGAAAATGGGGATAAAACAAACAAGGCAGCAATAAAGCTGCCTCTTTACTGCGGATGACATCAGTGGGAAGGGAGCAATGGGGGCAGTGGGAGCCTGAATGGAGGCAGACAGCAAGCAGGGAGACGGCGAGCAGCGGAAGGCAGTAGGAAGCCATATATCAAAAGTAGATGCTCTATTGTACAGGAAGGGCTGACCTTTTGCACGTTTACACTTTATTAAACTGGGTTTGGGGGGGGGCAGAGGGGGGAGAGCCAAGATATTGTTTAAAATGTATGACTATTAAAAAAAAAAAAAGTTGTCTTAATCACCAAAGAATACATTGTGGAAGGCTGACAACCATTCATAAGCTGTAAAAAAGAGGAGTAGTAAAACCCATTTCTCGATAATAGATCCGCAGCCCCTTGGTTGGAGGCTCCCAGCCCATGATAAATAGTAAGTAATACTTAGCGCCAGCCACTTGAAAAGGTTACTTGATCATTTACAGCAAAAGCTCTGCCCCAGCTGCCAGTCATGTAACAAAACCATCACGTTAAAATGCTATCCGGATCTTTCAGAGCTGTGTCACTCAGCCCTTTGCTGGAGTACCTGGAGATATCTTTTGTTGTGCCCTGTTCTTTAGGCACTTAGTCAGAGATGTTTGCTGGCTTGATAGCCCTAGGCTTATTTTAAAATTCTAAACGCTGGCCATAGCCTCTCCAGTGCTAAAGGCTCTTTGCTATTTGAGGAACAACTGCCTGGTTATAATAAAAAAGATGGGGAGAAGAAAAAGAAACTTAACAGGTGAGAAAAGGCTCTCCATTAAGTTATCAGAAAGTTACATCGTTTATTTACGCTGTCCAGAGTTTCATTTAAAATAGACAATGTGTGAATGCCTCACAGCACAGCCACCACTGTCGTCAACTGGGAAAGGGGCGAAAGTTGCCTGGAATTCAGCGTAAGCAAGCAAGCACCTTCTGATGCTTTAGCATGGCTTTGGGCTGGCTGGCATCGCAGTGAGGCCCTCTGTGAGATGCACAACAGAAACAGAGAGCAGACGTGGGCTTAGAATGGGAGAAGCACAGGGAGGGTCCTCCAGCCCCCTGCTATTCAGACGTTGGTTCTAACGAAGACAACAGAAGCAAGAGCTTCTGAAATCACACTGCTAAGGAAAACATCCACGATAACACTGGATGGAGATCTGGCAAGTAAAAATCTCACATATTCTTGAACCAGTGAGCTGCCTTCATCTACCTTTGGTCCTTGGAATATCTGATTGGTTTGTAGCATGGGAACAGCCACTCTTGAGGCCAAGTGATCATTACACAGCAGCCTCCTTCGTTAAAAATCAGTTATCAGGAAGTTTCGGGCTCGAGCGATTGTAAATTTTAGGCTATTCTGCGTGATAAGGCATCAGAGATAACCAGACCTTCCACATCTTTTCATTGCCATGGGAAGAGGACGTGGTCAGGATTTCAGGAACAATGTTAACAGCCTTCCACCCAATGTCGGCTGCTGCCCAGGGCCCCCACGTTTCTCATCGTCTCGTTGGGTTCCTTGCTGCACTAGCTCCTCCCTGCTATCAGATTCTTTACAGGCAGATATCCCCACCATTCTAACTCACACAAACACAGGATGTTCCTGGCCAGCCTGTCACCATTATCCAGCCTGTATGGAGGAAAAATCAGGGGAAGTTATTAACCAAACTCAGAGGCTGATGCAAAACAATGAAGGAACTAAGTTTAGCTGTGAAAGCAACCAGGATCCAGCTTTCACAAACCTGCAAGTTATTAATCTAAGGTGGGAAACGCTATCAGACAAGAACAATGCATGTGAATGCAACTAAGAGAACAGGAATGGGCTCCCAGCAGGGGGACAGGGATGGCTGGGGGCACTGACAGCACATTGGACATTGTGAAACAGGGAATCACGAGCACAAGGAGTAACACCATTCTGGGCAGTGTTCAGCTATCACAGGGTAAGCATTCAAAGTAACTGCAGGAAAATTCTGGCGTTCTGGACCCTTGGGTGAAAAGAATCTGATGCCAGCGACCTCGTTGCACTTCTCCATCACAGAGCTTCGGCATTCAATCAGCACTGAGTTATTACTGTAGAGCTTTACCTGGGGGTGGAATAGCAGAGGGGAGGGTCGCAGGTACTTCTCCTTTAGGGCACCCACAGGGTCTGTCACCTTCCGCTTCTCCACCCTGCTGGACAACAACACAGAGGGTTACGTACCTTCCAGGGCACAGCAGCAAAGCAGCAGCTGAACATTTCAACGACACCCACGAGGCTGTTCTCCTGTTAACACATCTTTCTCCCCTTCCTGCTGGATGCTACTGATGATGACCCACACATTACCCACAGTGGGCGGTGGAAAACAGAGCCCCTCCTTTGGGCAGCAGTTGGGGTTTCTAAGCGAGGTGGCAACCCAAGCTCTTCTGATGGCACTGTGGCCCCTTCACATATTCCATCCCTGAGCACCTTGCTTTACAGAAATAGCCCTATCTTTGAGAAAACTGGTTGTGCTTTCGCAAAACATCCTCCTTGCAGGAAAACCACGGTGTGGAAGCACCCAGAAAGAGAATCTGCAATATCCTGCAGGGCAACGTTGCGTGAAAGTAACCCCAACAACTGCAGTTGCATCTTTGAATCTCTGGAATAGAGTCCATCCCCATTCCACATCTAACTTCGTCAATCCAGCATAAATGAGAGCAAATCATTTTGCCACATTTCAGCTGATTGGCGCGTGGCTCAAATTACCAAATAGCTTAAAAGAAGAGTCACGCAGAGCGCTAATTAGTGAGCTGTCTTTAATCTGCATTTATTTTTAATTCGGGAGAAGAAAAGAGCAGAGCTGGGTTTGCAATGCACCCACAATTACTGTGCTTTGGAAGGAACGTTGAGTCGGCGTGCTCACAGCTGCAACAACCCAGGCAACTTTCTGCCCAACATCAGCAAAGGGTGCTCACGACCCATCGGCCACGCCATGCCATGGGGCTAAGCCAATCTTCTCAGCCCAGTGCCTGAGAATGTTACCTTAACGAGGCCGAGCTAAAAACTGCCCTGATTTCAGGCTGTCTGGCTGCATTAAATTATATCACCAGGAGAAAATGTCAAGGATTTAAGTGGCCTTGGGGAGAAAAATGGAAGGAGCCAAATGATGTGAGAGAGTCTGATAAAGAGAAGTTTAGAAACAAAATATTTCCATATTTTTTCGAGCTGGGACTTGGACGCTCGGCTGTTTGGCTCATTACATCAGGAGTCTGATTCACAAGCAGCTCTGCCACGGACTTTCTATTTTAACGTATTACTAAAACCGTACGCGTCCCCTGGAATGCACCGCGCGATGCCCCGTCCTTCCCTTCCATCTGCCTTTTGGGCCTTCATGCTTTTTCCCTGGGCTGCTATTTTAACTGGCAGCTGCTTTTGCAGCCAGTGTTGTTTTAACATTCCAACTGAGCCTGCCCAGAGGTGGCACAACCCTACTCAAACTCCCAGCTTTTGCCTCCCTACCCCACGTCTCTACGTTTTTTCCTGCATCAATGAATAACAGACTACGCACGTCAGCCCTTTTGCCTTCCTTCCCCAGGAGATGCCCACTTTACACACCCCAGCTCGTGATGCAGCCCTTCCCATCACGGATGGGCAGCATGCAGGCTGTGACAGCATCAGCCCCGAGAGCTGGCACAGCGAGAGCCGCTCTCCCAGCAGCAGGCACCGAGGGCTCACTAATCCTCATCTCAGCTGACAGCTCCTTGGCCCCGCTATGCATTGACATCATTTTTTCCCACAGTTATCAGCCATCCAGCAGCAGCAAGGCAGTGACATAGGTGCTGCTCCACCTCGCCATGAGCCGCTCCTTTGAAGGCTCTGACAACCCATCCCAGTGCTGACACCACAGCCCTGCGGTGATGCTGAGCCTTTCCAGCACTACGAAACCACGACCGCAGCACAACCCATCCCCTGCCAGCAGCCTGGGCACCACTGGGCTCTATGCAGCCCTGCAACACACTAACTCCAGAAATACCTGCTGGTCTGAGCAAGAGCTGAGTGCCCAATCAGACATGGAGCCACCGGGTCAAACCCGCGGCTACGAAACAGTTCATGTGTCCTAAGGGAGAAGTAATTAACAGACAGCTTAATGTCTAAACGAAGCTGGTTTGGGCTGCCTCCTCTCTAAGAACCAACAAATGGTATTTGCCAGGTGACAACTGCATCCCTGGGCAATGCTGCATGCAGGCTCACTGCTATGCTCATCTTCAAAAGCTCACAGCCATTCCCCTTCAGAAACAGACACAAACCCCTCCTTTACACCTTCTGAATTCATTCCTCTGGAAGTCTAACCGGCACTTGCATAACTTCACCTACTCTCCTTTCCATGCACAACTTAGCAGAGGAGCAGCACAATGCATCACTCCTCCCCCCAAAACCCTTCTGTGCAAAGTAAAACTAGAAAACCCTGTGCATCTTTTAAGAGCAATACAAGCCTCTGGGAGAGTCGAGATAAAACACTCTACCATGGATTTACACAGCACTTGCTGCTCCAGCCTTAAAAACATTTCACAAGGCTGAGTCTGCAACAGCAGTTCCTATGAACTGAAGAAGGAATTGTAAAGAAAAAGGGAGGTGGGGAGAAAAAAAAAAAAAAAAAAGGTGAAGTGGTTCACAAAGGGCCATCAAAGAAGTGAGTGGGAGAGCTGCATTTGCAGACTCCCAGGGCTCCTGACTCATTCCCAAGCCATGAGAGCCCAGGCTCTGAGGCATCTGAACTCTGCATTCTTATCAAATCAAACCTCTGGAATTTCCCCAGCAGAAGTGCCATCTTAGCGTTGGCTCGTGGGAGAGTCCTTTAATAGGTCAAGTTTCTTCTCTACCAAAATAAGGATGCGTTCTTTATACATATTGATTACGAGCACTCCTTTCAATTACTCGGCCCTTTCGATTCACAAAACTCAGCGTGCTGTGACGAGGGGCAGACAAGCACTGCCAGGCAGTATGGACACATCGAGCCTGTCGGACATGTGCTGCCCTTCCTGAACAGCCCACATCCAGATCTGCCTCGAGTGATGATGCCAGCTAGAAAACCAGCTCAAAAACCAGCTCATTAGAGGAAACAATTAAGGCAGGGTATGTTAATACCTGTAGATGGGATCCATGAAAAAGGGTGATGGCTTTGCATAATGCAGGGATGGTTGCTGAGGCAGCTGAGACTGGGAAATCTTGGGTAAGACTTCACTTGCCATTAGTTTCCTTTCCCCATAAACGTGGTTCTTCCGTGGCTCTCTCCCTCCATTCTGACTGGCTCGGATGCGGTTGCCGATGCTCAGATCCAATGGCTGCTCCTCCCCTGAGGACGGGGCTGGCAGGACCTTCGGTGGTGGCAGGATTGGCTTTATCTCTTTTGGCTTTGTGGTGAGATCGAAGGGCGACTCCGAGCTGGTGCTGCCTACTTTGTGGAGGTCCCTGGGTGACTTTGGTTCTGCCTTGACCAGCAAGTTGTGATTGAGGGTTCGCTCCGTGAAAGGGTAGAGTGAATGGGGGAAGTTGGGGAGGAACTGAAACGGAAACATGGAATGATACGGGAGCGAACCCATCTTTTTCTCCTGCATCCCCATAAAGCCAGGCCCAAAATACTTCTCTGCGATGGAGGCGATAGCCTTAATAGAGTCATTAGCTGCTCCCGTGGTGGGCAGCAGGTGCTCTTCTGGGGGAGGAAAGAAGGAATGCTGAGAATAGAAGAGAGGGATCTCGCTTGTGTTGTTGGTGGAGCTCGCCGACACGGAGCTGCTGACAAAGTCCGGCTTGCTCTCCATCTGTTTGCTCTTATCTTTTGTTTTGTCCCTGTCGCTCTCTGCGTCACTGTCCAGGTCAGAGCCGGTGCCAGTGGTGGTATCCAGGTCCGTGCCCGTGGTTGTGTTGACGTCCTCGAAGTCGCTGCCGTCGGACATGTCGCTGTTCCTGGCTTTTAGCTTCTCCAGGTAGGAGTTCTCCAGGCTGCTTTCACATTTCTCTTCTGCCGAGGCGGCCTGGTTGCTGTTGCTCACCGCAGAGATCAGGGGAAGCGCAGGGTTCCCGAGGGGGCTGGGAAGCTTTGCGTCTTGGGTGTGATTGAGGGGACTTTTGAGGAGTTGTGTGGGTGGTAACAAGGGGGGCCGGGGGTAGAGAGACGGTGGGAAAATCCCCGGGAATCCCGGGGTGAGGGCAGGGAACGCTGGGGGGGCGGGTGAGAATGGAAGACCCCCCGGGTGGGGACGGGATGGAAAATAATCGTTAAATCCCAAGCTGGCGTGGTTGAGGTTGGGAGAGGGCTTGGATTTGTCCATCATGGAGGTGGGCGTTAAGGGGAGGCCCGGGGCAAAAATGCCCCCGGGGTTGTAATGGTTCTTGCCCTCGCAGAAGCGCCGGTGCTTGTTGAGAGAGGAGGTAGTGCTGAACATCTGCCCGCAGTCCTTGCACTTGATTTGGGTGCGACAGTCCGCGTGCATCCGCTTGTGACGGCAGAGGTTGGAGAACTGCGTGTAGGATTTGTGACAGACCTCACCTAAAGCATCAACAGAAACCAACAACAAAAGCAATATGAAATTAACAGGAAATGGGACGGAGCGAGTTGAGAGCTTTCTTCAGTACCATTAAGTGCCCGCTCCGTAGGGATGTTCCATAAACGCTTGCCAGCCAGAGCTCCGTTCGGAGGGGCCGAGGCGGTATTTGTTGAATTAGCAGGGCTGGCAGTGCTAAGCTAACACCACCTCACCGCCCTCTTTAATGATCTGTAAATACAGAGCTTTCAAAACGTGATTTTTTTACGACCGCTTTCACCTACGGACTTTGCTGGTGTGGAAGGAAGAGCGTCAAGGGGGAAAAAAGAAATCCCACCCAAATTTTTCTACGTATCCAAACACCGTAACTTTGTACTAATGCCTCTTTCAACACAGGAATAAACCCCACTTCTGCGTGAATTAACACACTTCTTTCACGGGAGAACTTCTGTTATCACCAATTTGTAAACATGGAAGCTGAGACAAAGAGAGGGAAGGCGCATTGTGCAGGCAGGCAGGCAAGGACCTGCACCCAAATCCTGCCCACGCTCAGCCCTCAGATCCATGACCGAGCTCTCCTGCCTTCCTTCCTCTCACTTTTACTTAGAGGAACATGGAAGCCTGACTTTCCCTCTGTTTCTTTTCTATTTCCTAGGATTTTCATTAGTATTGGAGTATCTCAAGTCAGGTGAATGACGGCTCTGAAAATATCAGAGGAAGCCTCTTCTGCTGAAGTTCAAAGCAAAGATTACTGAAGTTGGACAAAGTGGCTGTTTCCACTGAAACAAACATCCCAAAATTCAGTGGATCATCACTGTGCCCAGTACCCACAGGGACTGTGCATGTCCAAACTAAGCGGTGGGTGCAAACCCTTCCAGGCACAAGGACAGCCTGTGTGAGCTCCCTCTCAAATTACAATTTCTGAAGAAATGTCACATTTGGGTGGATTTATTTAAAAGATGCATGCATATCTTCCTTGCCAGAACAGAATTACCCCTAATTTTAATCATCCCCTTGCCATGTGCCAGGGGATGCTGTATCGTGGCTTGCAACACACACACACACTCCAGTCGATAATAAATCGTTAATCTGCTTCAGCAGATGGCATCACAACCAAGCACACTTTCTGTCAGTTTGCACTGGCTCACTGCTGTGTTTGTGCTATTTTTTTTAGTGTATGCATTCACAATAGCACAGAAAAAAAGATGTCATGCTGTATCCACGCAGCAAAAAATTGTGAGAAAACAGAAGATAACAAAAGCGACGTTTTCCAAGAGAACTGGGCTCTTCCATTTGCCTCACCAGGAAGACTTGCTACAGCCTCCTATGTGTGTGTGTGTAAATATATATATGCATGTATATATATACACACACACACACATATATATACACAACTTTATCCAAACCCCAGGTACAATAGTAGGGGAGGGAGCCCAACAAAATCCACCCAGGTTCCTCTGAACAATAATAAAAAGCCTGTCCAGGGTTTTTTTCCTCACAGCTCCCCTCAAGTTGCTAATGGATTCCATATTAACACATGTGGCTCCACCTGGTACATCTGAAGTAGGCAGAGTTGGCCTCAGTTGCTTTACACGCTGATTTGGACTGACAACTCCCTAATTCTTATGAGGTGAGAGTGAGGAGATTATGAGGAGAAATCATTCATCTCGCTGCGGCAATACGACGAGATTCAAATTATCTCTTTCATGTGCCCGTCATCAAATGAAAGATGGCATCAAAATGAGCAATAAGAGCGTTTTTTCTTCCTCTGCTGACACCCATCTGATTATCGCAGAGCACGCTAATGAAACGAGCCTCCCAGGACACCCCTGCATACTGTTCCCATTATACCAACAGGGAAAAAGGCAGAAGTGGGTTCAGTGGCTTCCCTACCTTAACATCAAAGCCTGGAATCAAACCCAGACCCAGCTCTGTGCTTTAATGGCACTTTTTGAAGAGCGTCAGGAAGCAGTCCCTAAAGTTTCCATTGGCTTTGTTGTGTCACAACCCACACGGTTATCAAAATCCCATAGGTGCTGTGTCAATTAAAACAATATACAGCCCCAAAATGACAAGAAAGGAGACAAATGGCCCCCGAGGGAAAACCCTTCTTTAGAAATATTCCTCTACAGTGAGCACTAAGGACAGTTAATCTGCTATTTATTTGGTTTCCAAGCACGATCTAGATGAAACACAAAGTAAATAAAGAAGGAAAAATAAAACTCTTAAAAACTCATCTCTGATGCTACCCCAAAATCTGCACCGTGGGTCCAAGGAAACACTCTGGGCAGGCTGTGCCAGGTGTTCACGTTGGTGACATAAGTAAACACTCAAAGTTATTATGGGGGGAAAAAAAAAAGGAGAGCAAGAAAGGAGATGAGAAAATAGCATCGCTGGGACTGCTGAGAGACTCAGCTTTTAACTTGTCAAGAAAGTCAAAAACTGCCGTGAATGTTTACTGAAAAAACAGGGAGCACGCAGAAAAAGAAAAAAAAGAAAGAAAGAAAGAAGTTCATCTCGTTCTCTGACCTATAAAATTACAGCAGCTGCTGACAGAGGGACAGGGAGGACCGGGGGGCCCCGCAGGATACGTGCAATTACAGCAGGAGCCGCGGCTCCGCGATGGCCGTGACAACTTACATATGAAAGGTTTGACAGTGCTGTGAATGTGCTTGTGCTGCTTGAGGCCGGACGAGGTGGCAAAGGTTTTGCCGCAGTCTGGGCAGGCGTGGGCTCGTGCTCCAACGTGCTGGGAGCGGATGTGCCGCTGCAGGTTGCTGGGGTCGGTGAACACCTGCAAGAGAAAACACCTTCAGCGTGCGGAACCGAGCGGGGAGGAGCAGAAAGAGAGGCTGCTGGGGGCTGTGCTGAACCTGGGTGCAGGGTATGGGATGGTCCCCAAGCCCAGCCACAGCCCCAAGCACAAGCCCAGCCATAGCCCCAGCCGTAAGCCCAGCCATAGTGCCAGCCCCAGCCCCAGCCATAAGCCCAGCCATAGTGCCAGCCCCAGGGCTCTCCAGCAGAAGCTCCCCACCTTCACGCAGTTTTCACACTCGAAGCGCTTCCCGCTGTCGTGAGACATCTGGTGGCGGATCAGGTTGGATTTCCAGTTGAAGGCCTTGGGGCACTGGTCGCATTTGTACTCGCGCTCCTCGGTGTGGATCACCATGTGCTGCTCCAGGCTTGGGAGGAGAGACACGGCTGTGTGTGGGGGGGCTGCAGAGCCAGGCCTGCCCCACGCAGTGCCCCACATGGAGCAGCGACCCACCGCGACACAGGAGGAGCCGCTGCGGGCTCACGATGGGGCACTGAGAGCTGCAGCCATGCACACAGGTCTGGTATTCGTTTCATGGATGGAAAACACCCTCTCTGCCTCAAAAAGCTGACGGGTTTGGTGACTTTTCACAAGGGAAGATAAAACCGGGGCTGAGCCCCCAGGGTCCCGACAGGAAAAAGGAGCACTTTGTGAGCAGAATTCCGGCAGCATCCCCACAGGGAAAGACAAGATACGCACGGCCGCTGCTGAGGCTATCGCCTTGCCATCCACGCAGGCACGAAGCCTGCAGCTTCCCAGAAGAGAGCAATTTAACGTCGGAAAGAAACACGATGAGGTGCAAACACATTTCACTTCTAAACGTCAGACATCTTTTATTACCGAAGCCGGCGATCTCAGCTCCTGCCAACTGGCAGCCTCCCTCCGAGCAGGAGGACGATGGCGAAGCGAGGCGGCTGCTGGAAATGAGCCACGGCTGGGATGGCTGCACCCAGCAATGCACGGCTCCCTGCCCTCCCCTCTGCACAGCACCGCTGCTGGCTCGCGGTCCTGCCATAACCAAGGGCAGGAGGGAACGCAACACGGTGCACAGAGCGATTGCACTGAGCTGCCTTCAAGTCCAAAGGCATCCACAGCACTCAAAAGGGCAGCCGTGCAGAAGGCTGCTCCACCATCACTGCTGGACCAGGGCGAGCAGTCAGCACCTGCCCACCCCCAGGACCACCCCCACTGGGTTCTGATACAAAACACCCCTGGGCCCGGCTCTTATCAACTGGCAATCACCAAATAAATGCTGCTCTTTACACCGCAAAATTCTTTAGATGCACAAAGAAATGCCTACTTTGCATGCACGTATGTAAAAATACGCTCCTGTTCGCTGTGATTCATGAGTTTAGTTACAGCAAATATGGACAAACTAATATCTGTTTAGAGGCAGTACCTACTGGGATTAGCCAAACGTTTATTTATTTAGTCAGCTGCTAAATGCTCAATTCCAGTTCCCCAGTGGCAGCCTTGATTTGATCTGGATTAACATCCGAGAAATTCTGAGACGATCAAGGTGTGCTGACCAGGTTTATTGGGGGCTGCTCAGCACATCAAACACAGCAGATTGCCAGGGCAGGGACAGATGTGGGAGCGCTCCCCAGCTCTGCTAAACACGTCAGCGTGCAGAGCACACACTGATGTTGCTGACTCTATTTTTCCTTGTTGGAAAAAACAACCCGAAACTTCATATTGTCTTCACATAGAGAAAGCCCTTAGTGTTCTGCTCTTCACCCCTCAGCACAACCACAGCCACTCCATCTGCCTTTGAACCAATGAAAACCTTGAAAACCAGCCTAGGTGTTACATGCTCTGGATGCACAGTCCTGGAGCACTTCATAACAAGAAGCAAAGCCAGAAAAATCCCTAGCATTTTTCAGTACCTGGCACCTGCCATTGAACCATGTGAGAACCACACTGCAAATCAATCACAAATCTCTAAGATCTCTGCTTTAAGGCTGCATTCTGTTCCCATCACATCATGCTTGAGAGATGCTTCAGCTCAATTTCAGCAAGACAAAGAATTGTGCCGTTAAAGAAGCTCCATTCTTATTTAGAGTTGTCTTAGAAAAATAGTTCGATAATCATTGCAAATTAAGAAAAGATGGAGAATACCTGAATGTCTTATTTTGCTCTTTTTCTGTTCCACAGCTCTACTACTTTTATGAACAATTAAAAAAAAAAAAAAAGGATGTGTTGGGAAGAGAACTGTAGATTGCTTCTGCAAGATTAAGGAGGAGCTTGTGACCACGTCAGAGTTCTTAGTATGACAAAGCCTCTTTATACCCACTGATCTCAAAGGGCCAAGAATTACATCGGATAAAATCCATGCAGCAAACAGTGGCAGCACGTCACAGTGCTGTGCCCTCAGAAGGACGTCAGAGGGGAGCAGGTGTCACTGAGCTGCTGCCCAGGCCACCACGTCATCCCCACGCCAGCCCTGGGAAGGTCATGGGGAGCTCAGAGAGCACGCAGAGCCCAGGCACAGCTGCTGATGGGGCAAGGAAACACTGCAGCCTACGGAAGCCAGGGGAGACTGAAAGCTATCCAACAAACTCACAGCATCCAAATGCTCTGCTGACCCTATTGGGGTGGGCAGGAGGAAGGCAAGGCACACTCCTGCCGTACCCTGAGCCACCCAGCGCCCACCCAGGCCCTCGCTCCCCACACCAGGGGCAGTGCCCAAAGCACGAGACCCCGAGCCCCATACCTGTACTTGTTGGGGAACATCCTCTCGCAGTCCTTGCACTCGAAGACCTGCCCATCGCCAAGGCCCTCCTGCTTGATGTCATCATTCAGTGTCTCATAGAGCGAGCTCACGGCGCTGCACGCGTACTTCTTGTGCCGCCGCAGGTCCAGCTTGGACTGGAAAAGCTCATCGCAGTCCTCGCAGCGGAACGTGTGCTCCTCTGGAACGGACAGACAGGTGACTCTGATTGTGGGTCAGGACATTCCAGAATTCTATTTCACCCAAGGTTGTGCTTGCAAAGAAAATTCAGTACTCTGTGAGGTCATTCAAACCACCAAACAGGAGATCTGCAAGTGACAGCAGAAGGGTTTCGCTTTAAGCACTCAAGGAAAGCCCGGCACAGGCAGGGCAGCATGTGGTGGAAAGAACAAATGAGATCTTCCTCCAAAGAGGCCACCAGGAAAGGAAAGGAAGAAGCATGCCATGCCCAGCTCAGGGCTGGTGCCCTCTGACCGCTGTCCTCCGTGGGCAGCAGAGTTGGGAACCAGAGCGCTGCGGAGGGAAAGGAAAGGGAGCCCAAGTCATGGCTGTTGTGCTGTGCGCTATTTTTTTCCCCCCCAAAGAAAAAGAAAAACACACCAAGCTCTAATGCACGTAATAAATTATTGTAGTCAAGGTCAAACAAATTAAAAAAAGGGCAGCTATTATTAAGTTTACAAGGCAGCATCCTGACCACGGTGCCAAGTCAAACAACCGGCGCAGAGCTGTACATTTTCCAGCACAGAGTGGGGACAGCACGGGGCTCTGCAGCTCCACCCGCACTGAGCTGTGCTCTTTTTCTGAGAACTTCACTCTCAGAGAGGAAAGCCCGTGGTCAGCCACGCTGCTTGGGGTGGGAACGAGTGGAAATGCACTCAGTGAGAGGTGGGGCCAGAAGGGAACGTGGCGGTGGGGCTGCCCCATGCCCACGCTGAGATGGAGGGGTGATGGGATGCTGGGCAGGAGGATGCATTTTTAACTAAAACAAGGATTGCTAAGAGCAGAAAACACCCCTATCCTTCCCTCTTTTCAACTCATTCTGGCTGCTGGCATGCTCTGCATGGGTATCAGCATTGTCCCACAGCTGTGCATCAGCCCCATTCTGCTCCTTACAGAAATCCTGCTTACAGGCAGCTTGTAGAACAGCATTAAAGTGCATCTCATGTATTTTAAGTCCCTGGGGAAGGAAACCTGGAAATAAGGACATAAGGACCCACCTAGCACCAGTGAGAGGCTGTGCATAACCTAACATTAAAATAATGCAAACTGCTTTTCATAGGGAAAACCAACCAAACAAACGAAAGAAAAAAGGAATGCAAGTATCACGTTATGTTTTGTTTCACCTCACCTATAGCATGGAGCACATGAAGTTAAATAGCAGCGTTTCAGACTCCACCTGCATGAGCTTAGGGGCTGGAAGCAGGCCTGGCACAGACAGGCCGTGGGGCAAGGAGTGGGGCAGGGGATGGGATTGTGGGAATCAAATGTTGTTTCTGCATTTGAATTGGATAATATCATTTTTATTTTATGATCTCCGCTATCATAGCTCTTTTTGGGAGTCCTTCTACTTAACTTGGGGAAGATCTCTGATAAGTTTACATCACTTATTGTATAGACGAACCTTCCCAGGAACACACACTCTGTATAGACGTGTATAGATGTATATTTTGTCACACACACTGCAAGAATATCCTGCACGAGAGCAAACCAGAGAACAAGTGATGGTCTGCCCGAGGAAGCGCCTGAAGAGACATTGGGAAGGCCTGGCATCATCCCCAGTGCTCTTTGTTTAACGATGATGACTTTAAAGAAAATCACCATATCAATACAAGGAGAGCACCGAGACATCTTGGAAACAACAGGATGGCTGCTGACTGACACCAGGTAACAAATAAATTAACAAGTGAATAGCAAATGTCAACCTTCTGATAAGATTGTGAACCTGGAGTACCCAGCCATTGGGGAAACAGGGGAGGGGGGAGGCAAGGGGGAGCAAACAGGGTCCAAAGGCTGTCATGTCGTGCCCATAGGCGCGCTCCTGCTTGCGGGACGCCGCTATTGCAATCGCGAATAAAATCTGCTGTTATCAGAGATCCCGTCCTGACAAACATGACTTGGATATTTCCAACAGGATGGGCAGAGCAGCCGACGTGGGGCAGCTCAGCTCAGCAGCTCACTCAGCAAACCTGGTGCCCCCCTCCCCACAGCTCAACCCACAGAAGCTCCCCTGAACGTCCAGCATCTGCATTTTGGAGACCCGGCTGTGGCACATCAGTGAGCCCAAAAAGCACTGTCTGTTTCCTACGGCTCCGGCTGCACCACCTCTGCTAGCAGCAAGGGCACCAGCTTTTGCTACAGGTAGAAGAGATTGATAATAGGGAAAGAAATGCTCTTATTTCTCCCAGAATATCTGGGTTTGGACAAAGGTATTTTTAAAGGACTGACCTATACATATGTATATGATTTAAGCCCTGAGAGTCACATGCTGTAGGTACTGTCACTGCCTGAAGGCGTTCCTCTGGCACTGACGCCATGCCTGGCAGCAGGGTGGCTGGCCATGTCAGTGCCCAACACTGCACCCCGGTTGCTAGATTGCAGAATATTAGGAATCAGCTCTCAAGGCTGCGGGCTTTGGGCCAGCACAGCACCCTGCACAGCCACCCCAGCACAAAGGAGCTGGGAATGGAGCTCACCCGACCCGCTCTGCTCTGTGCCTTTAGATGTGACACTCTGTTCCTACACTTCAGGTTCATTAAAGCGTTTTTCCTTCCCTTCAGCATCACAAATAAAAATAATCGCCCTTCTAAACAAGCCCTCATTCGGGTTCTTTCTCCTTCCAAGAGTGCTGCAAATACAAATACTGCCCTTCAAAAGCAGCTCCTGCCTCAGTGCCTGGCGGAGGAGAAGGGGATGAAAGGAAAAGAGAAATCCAGTAACAAAAAATTGCTGCCTGCTCTCTATGTCTTGTTTGTCAAATCTATGGTTATATGTGTCTATCTAAAGTTCCATCAGTAACACTCAGGACAAAGCAGGAATGCAACAGAAAAATAAATCAGTGCCTAATAGCTTTCAGAGAAACCAAGGGGAACACAATTATGTGGCATCTACATGCTAATCTACCAGACTTGAATCTCAAAGGAGTTCAAGTGCCCTACTCAAAATTCCTGCAGTGATAAGGGGTCTGCTGTGTTTGGCTGGGGTTTGGATAAAAGATTTTTATGATAATTATCTTCCCGTGGAACAATTTTGCATTTTCTTTCTTGTTAATTCTGAGGCGAAATGGGGGTGCAGGCAGCAGGAAGAGAGCATTACCGAAAGTCACAAGTATTAAGAAGTCAAATATTTAACGCTGGCCTCTTACAATTTGAAAGCAATTATGTGGCAAAAGCACAGGAAGACACAGATAAACGTTACAGAATGGCAGAGATGGAAAACAAGGAGCACGATTTGCATGTCCACACAAAAGCCTGTTGGAAACAAATGCAAAATGGTGCGGAGTTTTCTTTCCGGTGTCTCTGAGGCATCAGAAAAGGGACACAGAACTGCATCACAATGTGTGCAGGAATCACCCAGCTCTGTGTCCATCTCAAGAAAATGATTCACTTCCTTGCGGGGAGAAAACCGAGACAGTAATTCTGAAGCTGAACTCTTGGTGAGGGAGCAGCTGCTGTTTGGAGAGCCCTGGGTGCACCGCTGCACTGAGAGCTGTTCCACACTGCCTGTGTGCTGCACTGCAAACCCAAAATCTCATCATGCACAGGCAAAGGCAAACAAATGGGCCGTTGGGTGGCCAGGTGAAGTGACTTGCATTCCTGCCGTTCATTCTACAGAGCAACAGTTCCAGCTAAGAGCTTAGCAAAGACCCTGCCTTACCAGGAAACACCTCACGTGGGGAGCACAAAGGGCTTTTCCACGGCCGGTGTGGTTACCGAGCTCCAGAAATGAGCAGCAGTGCATTCAGAGGAAAACACACGAGGAAGCAAGCAGTGCTTGGTGTGCTGGGTGCCAGCTGGGCAGCCCGGGGAACTTCTCCCTCGGTGAGCAGCCCCAGCCCTGCACCCTGCTGTCAGTGAGACTGAGCCATGGGATGCCCTGGCTCCGGGGGGGGGAGGACCTCCAAGGGGTGCCACCTCCAAGGGGTGCCACCTCCAAGGGGTGCCACCTCCAAGGGGTGCCACCTCCAAGGGGTGCCACCTCCAAGGGGTGCCACCTCCAAGGGGTGCCACCTCCAAGGGGTGCCACCTCCAAGGGGTGCCACCTCCAAGGGGTGCCACCTCCAAGGGGTGCCACCTCCAAGGGGTGCCACCCACCAGCCCAGGTCGCCCCCACCCAAGCCAGCTTTGACCAACACAGCTACTTCATCAGTGAGGAGTGAAAGTAAGCAGAAAAAATGAGCAGCTGCTGGAGGTGCAAGGCCACCTGGGGCACAGATGGAGGCTCTCACCTTCTCTGAGGGTGCAGCACACTGCCTTACCTTCCATGCTGGGTGCCATGTTCCCCAGGGAATAGCTGCCTTCCTTGGCACACACCAAGAGCTCTTCTCCTGGCTCGATTTCCTTAATAACTTTATAATAGATCTGCGAAGCAGAAACAGAAATTGAGAGACATGTTAAATATGCAAAGATGTGCGCTTTACATTTTTAACCAATAACTCAAATTATTCCAGCTAACAGGGGGGGCTGTCACTTGATTTGCATAATTGCTACTAAGAGCTCTTTCTCCTGCCTTTATTTTACTCCGTGCACGTCAAGTTTCACGCAGTTTGGACCACAAAGTAGTATTTACAGTAACAGCCTCCCTCATTCAAATTACACAAAGATCTTCCCATTGTTTCTCCTACCTCCTCCGTGCTCCGTGTACTCGTTACAGCAGAGGGATGATTAACCTGATGGAATTGAAACACTTAACTCTCCGCTTCTCTAAGCCCAAATGGGCCTCGTGATCACAGAGCATCACCCTCACACCCTTCTCCTGTGGGCTGCTCTCACCTGCAACCCGAGGACCGCACTCAACACCAGCACACAAACCAGCCCACTTCTACCGGTGGTGGGATCTGTTTTCAGAGCACACAGGCAGAGCTCAGACCCCTCCCAGCTGCGTGCCCCATCTCAGTGCCCGTGTGAGCTGTGAGGAATGGCTTTGATGAGGAAGGAAACCAGAAAGCACAGCAATAGGAGGTGGGAGTTTGTGCCACGGCCCCGTGCATCCCAGGGCTCTGTGTCCTCTGCAGGACTTCACCAAACTCTCCGAGTCCACCAGACCCCTCCCTCTGCTACAGAACACTGCTGGAATCCAGCAGACACGAGGCATTAACTGCAAGGATCTCTTTGCTCTCCCTCCAACAGCAACGCACAACGTTCTTTTTAGGATATCAACCAGAAGTCACCCGGAGCAGCTCTCAGCTGCAGCTCTGTGCCCACAGGGAATAAAGACCCCAAACCATCACAGCCCACGGGTGCTGCTGACAGCACTGCGCTGCTCTTCGGGTCCCTTTGCTCCACTTCTCCGCACTGAATTCAGAAACCCCCCGCAGGCTCCCTGCCCGCACTGCAGCCACCACGCTGCCCCATCTCCTGCCTTCCCTGAGCGCATCCCTACCAGCTCTCGTTACAGCCATGCCATTTCTCCAGCGCTGCTCCGGGACTCCCTGGGACCTCCCCCAACCTCGAGCCCGAACCGCAGCCGAACCTCCGAGTGCGGCCGCCCCGTCCGTCCATCCATCCGTCCCTCCGTCCCATCGCATCCCATCCCGCCCGGTCCCACCAGGGGGCACGCTCCGCCCGCACAGCCCCGCAGAGCACCGCAGCGCTTCCAGCCCCCCCGGGTTGTCCGATGTCCGTCCCCAAAGGGTGCTGTGTGCTTTGACTGCGGTTATTGGAGTGCGAGAGGAGGAATGCGAGCCAGCAGGAAAGGCCACAGAGAAGGCACAGCGGCCACCAACAGCACCGACAGCAAAGAAAGAGCTTCCCAAAGTGCCCCGGCCCCAACCTCAGCCCTTCCCTGCACACACCAGAGCCCCAAAACACAAACTATGACCTGAAAGGTCCGCCTGGTCCATAGATGCACGTGTGAGCTTTGCATGGCAAGAATCCTTCAGCATGACAGCACTAAATGGTCGCCATCACCTCTGTGCGGCATCTTTAACCCCGCACCCCTCTGTCTGTCCTGAGAACAAAGTTACTTGGTGGACAGAACCACATTTCTGCAGCAGCTTCTTTTTTTTTTTTTAAGAGCTATAGTCCAACCCTCAATAACTATTAGGGAAAGGCTGGATTCTGCTGGAGTCACATTCATTTCATCAAGCATCTCGTTACAATCATTAGCTTCACCTTGCAATCGTGCTACCAGTGGTCTTTATCAATTAAAGCTGCAGTGTTTCCCCTCCTGCCAGGCTTTTTTTAGGCATCCCTAACACAAACCAAAGCAGGTGCTCTCATACCTGAACTTTCCCATTTTACACAAGCTGCCTTCCTTCAGATCCACCACAGCATCCCCATCAGCTGCAGGCTGGTCTTGCTTTTGTATTTCCAGCCCTGCATCCAAACCTGCCTCCTCTTTGCTAGCTGTATTCACAGCACGACTGCCTCAGGACTCAACCAGGAGCTGATATCTGACCTACTGACAACTTGAGGTTTGTGAAGCTCCCAGCTTGGATCGCTGTCCCGAATCCACTTTTGGATTTGAGTTTCAAACAGCCCTACAAAGAATGGCCCTTTAATTCCTGGAATGCCCCATCCCCTGCACAGAGAACAAAGGTCACCGCAGCTGTGGGACCAACATCAAAACCATTCAGTCCATCTGCACCCCCCCCACGGACACCCACACCACTCCACCAGCATTTCCCCCTGTGCCCATCAGGCCTCTGTTTTCCCTGCAGACCCCCAGATCCTCTCCCACCCCTCTGTCACCCAAACCCAACCTGAGCTCACAGCCTGCCACCACCAACAGCTCGCAGCATCACCTTTCTGTGCTTCTCAAGGCACTGCAATACCACCAGTGGCTCCCACGTGCTTAATGAGCACAACCTGTGTCACAGCAGGTGTTAACAGTTCTCACAACCTTCCCCACCACAGCCCTGGAAGACGGGGCTGCACAGAGCTCTGCTATGGGCACCGCAGCAGCACTGCTGCATGGATGGGTGCTGCAGCCGCTCCGTGCTGCTGCTGTGTGCATGGTGCAATGAGTGCAGCAAGGCAGCAGTGCTGGGGCTGTTACCTGCTCGTTGACGTGGCACACGGCGAGGTTCTGCTCAGCACAGGAGCAGGCTGCACGGATGTATTTCAGCCAGGTCCCAGCTCCGCTCTGGTTGGCATCGACGCAGAATTTCTCGTTTCCCAGGTCGTCAGCAATCTGTGGGAAGCAATGCAGAGGTCACTGGTTATGGAATGGTAGCTACAGGAGGAAGAAAGAAAGGAGAATTATTTGCAATGCGAGATTCCCAACAAGAAATAGAGAAAGCTGGATTGTATATAAAATTAATAAAGACACGTGACTTGGAACAAGATATATTCCTGAGCTTGTGAACCTTGAGCAAAAGAAAAGGAGAAAAAAGAGAAAAGAGGAATTTTCTCACGTGAACGAGTGCCAGGTCATTGAGAAGTGCCACCAAACATAACCCAGAGCAGAGCCCAGCAGTAAGCACGGCCACAGCGTGCACAGCCCTTCAGCTGTACCCACAGTGAAAGGCCTGACACAAGGCAGTGTCCTCTGGGAACGAGGAGGCTGAGTGACACTGTGGGCTCTTGTTGAGGTCACAGCTTCTTACTGACCCCAAATGAGTTATGGGGTGTGGGGCAGCCTGGGCAGAAAGGGAGAGCAGCTCCAATGGAAGCAATAGGTTTCCACCCACAAAAGCAGGGTGGTCGGTGCCATGGGTCAGTCTGGGCCCACGGCAGACAGGTTTTGATGGTTTGGGTAAGTAATGCCCCGTTTTAATTAATTTGTACAGCAGCAATCAGAGAAGCCGTGAGCCCAGGAAAGCAGGACAGCACATTGCAGGGTGAGATGGAGAGCCCGTTTGGTTTTACAGCTGCACAGCACGGGTGCCCTCTCTGGAACTGCAGGCACTTTGAGTGGCACTGGAAAATCCCACAGCTCATCTGAAGTTCACCACTGCTCTGCAGCCCCCACGTGCGGCTCACAGCTCTACTTCAGAGGGTCCTGAGAGCCCCAAACCAGCCGAAACCCTGCAGTGCTGCCAGAGCTTTAGCACCCAAAGTGGGGGTGTGAAATCTCACACAACAAAACGAGCAACAAATGAGTCTGTGTGAACCCTGAGAACTTAAAGCCCTGTTTTTCACACCCCCCCCCACTGCGCTCCACAAATAGAGCAGCCTCACAAACCGCGGCCCAGCAGTGTCCCTGGATGATGGCACTCTGCACGTGCTGTCCCTCAGAGCGTGCCGTGCTTTCCTTGTTTTCAATTCCAGACCTTTGAGAACAGCAGGAACATGGAACAGGGCAGGGGAGTGCATGGATTATTGCAGGAAACGCCGTTGTATAATGCCAGCACTGCAGGAGTCCTTCCATCACCTCCCCCCCCTCACCACAGTCCCACTCCATCCCACCCCACCAACACCACACTGTGGATTTCTCATTGATTTCTTTTTTTCCTTGACCATCAAACTCCCTCTGCTGCAGAGGATGCATCCATAAATGCTGGACCCAGACCCAGAGCTGTGGCTGTGGCTCAGACCCACCTCTGTGCCACATCCCAGAGCTCCCAGAGCTTTCGGTCGCACAGCACTGGGGGTTGGAACCCAAAGGGCTCATTGATCTCGCAAAGACTTCGCTTCGCAGTGTGTTAAGATTAGAAAGGCTGAGCTCTGTAGCAAAAGTGATGGAAAATTTCTCTTGGATTTGTTTTGCACATCATTTGAGGTTTCCTGCTTCTCTAATTTGTGGGCTCTCCGTTGGGTTGTTTCTTCCACGTTTTAATGGGCAGAACACCAGAGCTGGCCCATGCGGAGGGGTGCCATGGGGCTGCAATGCTGAGGGATCTGTCGTCAGTTCACTTAATGGGTTCCCAATGTGTGCAAAGAAATGAAGCGCCCGCAGCTCTGCCATCAGTGCCCCAGCATCCTGGGGCTGTAACATCCCTCCCCAGAAGCTGGAAGTGTAATAAACCTTCTCATCCCATCGTTGCAGGATCTGCCTTTGACAGTTTGGCTGATGCTCGCATTTTATTTGGCAGGAGTTCGAGGGAGACTTTTTTCCCTTTTTTTTTTTTTTTAATATTTGTTTTTTTTTTCCTTTTTGCTTTAATAACCCACGAGCTGATTTAGAGCAGTAAACTGTTGCCGTGAGGCTTTGTTGTGTTTCTTTTAAATAAAGGGGAGGGGGAGATGGCTGCCATGTCTGACTGTCAGAAGTAACTGAAACAGAAAGTCCATTCTTGCCGCGGAACGAAGAGAAAAAGATTTCATCCAAGGAAACACCTCTGCCAATGTGTGGATGCAGAGCCCAGATGAACTCATAAATCCAGCACTCTGCCTGCAATTAACCTGGCTTCCTGGTGATGTGACAGTTAATGAGAACCGTGGCAGACAAACCAGGGTACCAGGGTGTGCTTTGGGCTCTGCCAGCACCCGTGGGCACAGATGGAGCTTGCTTGGCTTCGGGTCCCCAGCAATGAGGGCACGGAGGAAGGAACACCCGATCCCATGCAAGGAACCCCCAGGAGAACCATCACAGCAGGAGAAGACTTTTGAGACGATGGCCAATGTTGATCATTCAACAAAAGCTCGTTTTTCGCTGGTAACGTCATTCATAGCACGCTGATTTCGATTAAACAGTAAACTGTAAAGAAATGATGCTGGAGTCAAAGCTCGGGGCTGCCTCAGATATTGTACACACAAGTCAAGGAAGGGATTTCCAGTTCTTTGTAATATATACACACAGAAACTTTGAAGTTTTCCTCCCCGCAGAAAGAGCTCAATACAGCGCACTGTTGTACCGCGCTTCGTTTCGCCTTGTTTTTATAAACCAATTAATTAATGCTGTTCTCAAAGCTTAATAGATAAGAATAAACGGGAAATTAAGAGAAGCCTGGATCTAATTAAAAAATGAAGCAGTACTTTTTGGGAGTGGTGGACATCTGTAGGATGCCTGCTCCCCTGGGGCAGGTGCCCGCGGTGCCCCTGGTGCTCTGCAGCTCACCGCAGGGAGCCCCGCTGCTCTCCCCCAGGCACGCACTGTGCTGGCTGAGCTGGTACCAACCTTCCTGCTGCTCGCCTTAAATCATTGCTTGTTACTCCAGCTTTCTTTTAACAACCATTTGGGAATGGAAGCTGTGGAACACCACGAACGCGTTGGCCTCTTCCAGGTGATTTATGGAAGGCACCGGGTGCCAAAACCGTTTGCCACTCTTTATGCACCGGCCAAAAAAGTAGCAGAGCCTTCCCATGCCTGTTCCCATTGCTAACACCCATCACAAGGTGCCCTCCTTGTGCAGCTTTATGCCAGCCATGGAAGGGCATGGGGTGAGTAGAGCCCCACAGAGTATCACCCCACGGCTCTGCCAACCCTCCCGCCAGCTCCATCTGTGCCCACAGTCCTCGGAAGGTGCAGCCCATTACCAACACATGGAGCAAATGTAACATCAGTTACCCAGGCACCCAACCAGCTCAGATAGCTGAGGTTCTTGAAACTGTGTGTTTTTTCCATGAAATGAATAGGTTTGGGGATCTTCCCCAGCACAAGAACTGAGGGGAGATCTGCCCCTATCACCCAGCACTGGAACCATCCCACCTCCCATCTGGCTCTCAGCTCCCCCAGCTCGGGCTGCCCACAGGGAGCTCCTGCACAGTGCAGTCTGCTTTAGGTTGGCCACAAACCAAAGCCACAGAGGCCAACATTTACCGGCAGCAGCGACATCACCACCATCACCATCCCTCCTCACATTTCATCTCGTTGCATCTAACAGCAACCAAGCAGCCAAACGATCTCCATCTGGAAGTGCATTCCTGTTCATGTATGAGCTCTAAATGCCCTGAATTTACAGGCAAAAAAGCATGCATTACTGCTGCTGAAGCCGTGACCTTACACATCCTAAGCAAAGATATTAAAAGAGAAAGAATGGAGCCATACCCCCCCACCCAACCCCACAGCTGCACTGTGCTCCCCCGGCACAGGAACCCCCCCGGGGTGCCACACCGCACGAGGAAACGGCCCCCAGAGCCCTCTTAGATCACACACTGCTCTCGTGCTCTTTAGAAGGTGTGAATTAGACGAGCTTGTGAACAAGGCTGGCACTGAGAGAAAGAATGGAAGGATATGGGGGCTTCCCTTTGGAGCCACGCAGCGGGATGGAAGCAGGAGCAGCAGCTCCTGCTTAAAGGGCTCTGCAAACAAAGCAGCCATCCCACACTGAGCCAGCAGCAACGTTCTGATGGAGCACCAGTGCACTGAGCACCTCTCATACAGCCGAGACGTGTGATTTCTTTCTGGTTGGTATTTACTGAAAACATGACCAAAAAAGGTGCACAGTGAGGCACTGCAGCCTGCAGCCGTACCACTGCAGCAGCTTCTGCCACTGAGATGCACCCTGCACAGAGCTGCATCCTGCATGGGAGCTGCATCCTGCAGTTACTGACATGCACACCCGCAGTCCTGCCCCCTGCTAGCAGCAGGTATCAGCATGCAGCTGGGGCTGCTGGGACAGAAGGATTGCCATCTCATCGGGGGGCGTTGGGTGGCATCTCCTCAGCAAAAGCCAAAGTAATTTGACTGTTATCCTCAAACACGTGGAAATCTCCTGTTTTTTTAAGTAAGCTCTAGAATGCTGTTGAAACTCTTTATTAAGACTTAATCCTACAGCCTTAAAAAAGTCTAATAGCGCAGTATTTCCACGGCAGAAATGATTCCTGTCTGTATCTGGCAGCCTCTCCAGTTCTCTAAGGATGAACATAAATTCAATCAGACCAAATTAAAGCTGAACGTCCGTAAGCCACGTAACGCATTAATTGGGGCTATTAATGTTTTTGGAAGAGCTGCACAACAGCAGAGCCCCCAGCGAGGGCAGGGCATGCATGCTTCACACCCTGCTGCCCACCTGCAGCAATGAGTCTGGCAGAGATGCATTTGAGTCGATGCTGTCAGAAAGGGCAGAAGTCCTTTCCCAGCCCGATGGCTGAGCAGTAGCCACACACACCCCAGAACCGACCCACAGCACCGAGGGCCACGCGGCCCCACGGTCCCACCATGTGTGCTTGGAGATGCTCCATCGTCTTTTCCATGTTTCTGCACCAGGTCTGACGTTGGCTGAGCCCATCCAGTCTGTGAGCAGCTGCCAAGAGCATGAAGTAATGAGAAAGGATAGGGAGAGAGAGCTGAGCGTGTTCCAGCCGTGC